TGGTAGGTTATGGACTCCTTGAAAATCTAATGAACGCTGGGAACTCACTGTCCCCAGATAAAAAAAATCCACAGTTTTGCATACAATCCCAAAGGGTTCACTGAGCATCTGAAAACCGCAAATGAGTTCCAGATTAAAAACCCCTTCTCTAAAGGAAATATAACAAGTAACCATGATTTAAAGGAAATTGTGGAGTTTTAACTTTTTAAAGAACCTTTGAAATAATGTAGCCCATGCTCTCATTTTCTAGATGTGGACAGAAGTCTGGAGGGAGTAGGACTTGCCCAAAGTCACACGACCAATTTGGTTGCCAATTTAAGTCTGCTTCCATAGCAGACCATGAAACAAGGACTAGGGGGAAAGTGATTTATTAAAGAGGTGCTTCCTGGGGAGATTGGCCAGGGTGTGGAGGGGCAGGACAGAGAAAAGGATGAAACTGGTTGGGGTGCCCTCTTGGGCAAATACTTGCAAGGTAGGGGGTCCCACAGGAATTCTGGAGGGCAAGGATTTGGTCGGCTTTTATACCTGCACACCTTCCATCACTGGTTCAGAGGGAAGAGAGTGCAAACTTCAGGAACCAGTAGCCCAAAACCAGTCCTCCAAGAAGGAGCTGCAGATGTTGCCTGGGACAGAGCTCAGAAATGAGAAAAGAGGGCTCTAGACGCTGCCAGGTAGAAGGCTGCTAATGTGGCAGGTCAAGCTTTCTTGACCTCATGCTGCTGTCCCAGAAAGGAGAAATGCACATAGACTTTTTGGAAAGTGATTTAATGCTTGAAAGGAATTAATGTTCCCAAGATTAAAGATTAATGGATGTGTTATATTTATTTTAAATTTTAGTCTTACACATGCTGAGGGTTTACAGACCTTTAAATGTAAGTGTGCAGAGCAGCACCAGTGACCAGGAGAACAGCTGCTCAGCACCTTCTGGAGGCTCCACGGTGCACAGTGTCCAGGGGGTCCCATTCTCCCATTCTGCCCACTCTGTGAAGCCACAGTAAACTCTGTCTCAAATAGTACCCCCCTACCCCAGCCTTATGTGTGCCTCAAACAAGGGCTTGTTTCTGCAGAGCATTTTATTTTGTGGGGCTAAAATTCCCTTTTTCCTCCAGAACAACATAACTGCATTGCAGGAGAGATGTGCACATACATGCTTCTCAGTCTTGAAGTCTCCCCCAAGCCAACAGAACTGAGTTTCTCTTTAATTATATAACAAAATCCTGAAGGCTGAAGCCATGACACTGGTGTCCCTGCTCAGAGTTTACTAAGTGCCAGGAAAAAAAGACCAACAGCCCAATAGGAATATAGGCAACAGAAATGAAAAAGCAATTGAGAGACTGAATATACTAATGGACAATGGCTCAACTATATATGAAAATAGAACTCTAACCCACAATAGGCAGCAACCAGTCCAGGAAGGCAAACCATAACCTCTGCAGAAACTGGCCCCAAACAGCCAGGACTGGATCAATAACTGCCAGCTTCCCTAAATTATGCCCTTGCATCCAACTTGTCTGCCTAGGATGCTGGCTGCTCATTAGCCCACCTCCAGCTTCCCCAGGTCCACAGCCTCCCATCAGGGTGTGCCTGAACTGAGCCTTCCTTTTCCCCACTATAAAGTTTTCCAAGTTTCCTACTTGACTCTGAGTCTCTTGCCAAATGCAAACAGTAGTGGCTGACTTCCTTGCCATGGTAAACTCTGAATAGATAGCCTTTACTTGTTCTCACTTGGTAGTCCTAGTTTATTTCTACACAGTTCAAAGAGAAAATGCAAACAGTCAATAAAGATGGGGAAAAAAGTGCAATTGTAACTAATTTTTTAATGCAGATTAAAACAATAAAATACTTTTTTTTGGCTTGGAGGGAAGTTTAAAAGTATTAAACAAAAGGTAAAAATGTGCAAACCCAATTCTAGTCATTCCAATTCTAGCAATTCATTTTGCAGAAATTGTCTCATAAATGCACAGTTATGTACAAAGATGGACATTGTTTAATCTTCGTACAGAATAAATGTCCAAAAGAAGGATGGATGAAGTATGAGACATCCATGTGATGGAATTCCGTGAGACTACCCAAGGAATAAAATGTCCATCCTGGAGAGAAGGCTGGGATGAAAGGTAAATAAAAAAGGCAAAACAGCACATATGGGTGCCATTTGTGAGCACACATGTTCATTTACATCTCCTGAGCTATCTGTGTGCACCCAGGTACATTTAGGGCTGTTGCACACAATGCTGACAGTGGTTGATCCCAGAAGTGGGGCAGGAGAACAGAGAGGGGCTTTCACTTCATATTATTTCTCACTGTTCATGGTTTTGTAATGATCATGTATTACCTTGGTAATGAAAAAATTTAAACAAAAAGAAACAGCTAGGAAATGAAGCTGTTCACATGCAGTGTAGTCCTGAGAACATGTTATTCACTCTAGCACCTATTTTCTCACTTCTCCGCTCATTGTGGCTAAGTTATGCAGAATGAGGCATGGGCTTGAGAACAGCTTTGGTTCCCGGAATAATAGCCAAGATAATGAGGAGCCCGCTTCACCGGCGATGCCTGGCCACCCCTTGCCAGAGACACACAGTGGTGCAGGTGTTGGAACAATCAGGTCTCATTTATTTGCCATTGTCCAGATGGAGCCTATCTGCGCTGGTAAATTTTCCAAAATAATAGATGCATACCATCTGTTTATAGAGCCAACTTAATAAAAAAAAATTTAACCATTTTTGAGGGAAATCTTTCCTAAATGGATTTCACAACTCCTACCTTCTCAAAGAGAGCACCATGATCATTATGTAACAAATTCCTGATGATCTGGGGCATTATTTCTGACTGTTAAGTCGAGCTGTGACTTACCTCAGTGCCTATCTGGGATAGACTGAAGTGCTGGGAAGCTTGCCTCTGAGGCTTCCCTGATCCCTGTGATTTTGCTTTCTGATTTGAATATTTTTGCTGCATCCCTCACTTTCAGCTGTCGTTTACAGATACTGTGCCTATGGTATCTTACCCTGCCTTGGGGAGTGCCAAATTGTTGTTCATACCTTATTTCACTTGCTGCTCCACCCCAAAGTGGATCCAGAGTAAGGACGTGAATGAACAGAGTTCCCTGGAGGTGACCCCAGCAGAGTGAGGGTGTGTGGAAGGGGAAGAAAGAGAAGGCAGCCAGCAAAAATGGTTGCTGCATGGGCAACAGAACTCAGCCTCTCACTGGGACCGCCTGAGACTCTGTGGGGACACCTTGATTGTCCTACTGAACAGTGAGGAACCTGGAGTATCTATTCACTAACTAGTATCCCTCTGATCTCCCTTGATTAAGGGTTGTAACTGGGCATAGAGAAGAGATCCATTCTTTTGCAGTTCAGGCCTGCACCTTAGCTGGGCCAGGCAATGCCCACAGGCAGAAAGACACAAAAACAGGCCAAGGCAATGGGAGAAGAGTACAAAAAAGCCATGACACCCTCACACAAACCCATGGAGTCAGCAGTAATACCCCATCATACAGATTAGGGAACCGAGGCCAAGACAGTTTAAGCTGCCTGCCCAGTGTCACAGTTAGACAGCGATGGAGCTAGTATCCCAACCTGGGTTGAACTGGCCCCAGTCTCCCTTGCTGTCACAAGTGGCTGCTGTGTGTTTTGGGGCTTTGTGGGGCCTTCCTAATTATTGTCCTCAGAAATCATCTGACGCAGATTATTAGGCCTGAGAAGGTGTGACTTTGTCTTGTTTCCTGATGTGTCCCTGTGCCTAGAATAGTGCCTGGCACGTGACGGCTTCTCATGAAGGAATAAATGAGGCTAAATTAAACTCTGAAGATGTCTTCAGTGGTCTAAGTGCAGGTATTGATCAGGCCAGAGGACGTCACAGTTGATAGCCATTTATTCCTCGGTGCACAGTTCCCGTTTGTGTTCATTCATCCATTCATTCATTCACTAATATTTATTGAGTGCCTGTTATATACAAGGCACCATACTAATGCTGTTTTCAGCTGAGAGAAAAACATTCATGAGCCTGCCTCCATGGAGTTCACAGACTAGAGAAGGGGACAGGCATTAATCAAAAGAATCATACAAACTGCATCTGAAAAAGCTTCTCTTTCACCTTTCAATTTACAGAAAAAACAAGGATGATGGAATATGTCAGGTATACCATGGAGAACCATCAGCAAAATCCAGACTGTGGGAAACTCTACAGGATAAACGACCCACTTCAACAAATAAATTGCAATGGGAGAAAATAAACAGAGGTGGAAAGGGAAACCTACAGATTAGAAGAGATTTAAAAGACATGTCAACTAATTGCAATAGGTGCCTGTTATTTGTGACCTGATTCAAAAAGCTAAAGAAGCATAACATTTGTGTGATAACTAGAAATTTGGAACTGGATGAACATTTGTTATTGAAGAATTATTATTCTTATTTTAGATGCAATGGTATTGTGGTTCTGTTTAGAAAAAAGAGGCTTTCTTGTTAAGAGATACATGCTGAAATATTAGATGAAATGATATAATGTCTTGGATTTGCTTCAAAAGGAAATAAACAGGCTATGGATTAAACAAGATTGCTCACAAGTTGATAAAATACTGATACTGGTAAGGGTGGCTTAGGAGTTCATCATATTATACTGTCTACTTTTGTATGTTTGAAATCTTCCATAATAAAAAGGTTTACAGGAAGGATCACACAAATATTGCATCATAAACTGAGATACATGAAGTTAGGAGGACCATGCACAAAGAACCATGAGAAACTATAACAGATGAGTCTGATAGATGAGGGACTAAGGAAGGCTTCCCTGATTGGCAAGGGTGTTTACTTTATTGAACTGATTTTTTTTTTTGGTAGAAAAACTTCAAAATATATAACATTAAGCAGGTATATTATTCTTCTTGCCTCTACTTTTGTTAAAGCATTTATCTTCTTTTCCAACTTAAGTAGGTCCAAGGATGTCATTATTCTAATAAAACCTCAGTGTCTGAATATCCTTCCCACCCTTAACACTCATTGAAAGTGCTCACTTCAGCAGCATACACACTAAAATTAAAACATAGAGAGAAGATTAGCATGGCTGCTGTGTGAGGATGACATGCAGATTCCTGAAGTGTTCCATATTTTTTGTATCTGTATGAAAAGATGGATGTTAGCTGAACCTATTGTGGAGTAATTTCACAATACATGTAAATCAAATCATCACACTGTAATGCCTTAAACTTACGCAGTGGCGTATGTCAATTATTTCTCAATAAACTGTTGAAAATCACTAAGATACCTTGTAAAAAGAGGTTAAGGGGATTTAAATTATGGCCATAAATTCCTTGAAGCTCCTCCCATCTAAAGATGAAGACTGTGTCCCCTTTGAATCTGGGCCACCTTGTGACTACTTCAATCTAAAGAATACAGTAGAAATGTCAATATTCAACTTCCAAGGTCAGAAAAGTCCAAGAAGATATAACCATTTCTTTTAGCACATTCACTTTGGGAGCCCTAAGCTTCCATGTATAGAATCTGATCCACCTCCTGAGGCTGCCATGTTGTGGGAAGCCCTGGCTATGTGGGAGGCTGCATGTAGCTGCTCTGATGGACAGATGGACAGCCCCAGCTGGGGTTCCAGCCCAGCGAGAAGCACCACCAGTCCTGTGAGTAAAGAGGCTTCTAAAGTGATTGCAGCTGCCATCTGCGAAGTTCCCATCAGCCATTGTCACTGCAGCTTCATTCCCTCAATATCAAGGGGCAGAGACAAGCCATATCCACTATGCCTTGTTTGTGAGCAAAGTAAAATTGTTAATTCATGTAACTAAGCTTGGGAGTGGCTTGTTATGCAGCAATAGCAACCAGAACAGAGTCTGAAGGAGGACTGGTAAGCAGATGCTCTCAGAAGTGCTGAGATGGGGAGGGCTGAACCTGGGGTTAGGGATAGTGAACAATTCTATAGTAGTAATCTAATTAACTCCATGGGGAGTCAAAGAACACCCAGATCCAGATTTTGATTCTGTTTTTTGTTGCTACCCTCACTCCTTCCCTAGGCCACTTTCAGTGCTGGACAACAGTCTAGGAATTTCAAGCAGAAAAGCATTTAATAGAAGACTTTCTTTCTCAGAAAATCTGTGACTTGTCTTCCATACTAGCATATCTTTGTCTTCACTTGAACTCACCAAGCAATTAAATACCTTTGAGACGGAAAGGGAGGCCTTGCCAAATATTTTAATATCACACCTGAGCAAGCAACAGCTGAGCAAGGTAATGGATAACAGTTAGGGTAAGCAATAGACTAACCAAAATCATTTTTGAAAAACTGAGGAATGAGATATTTATAAGAGCTTTGAAAAGCTCCAATATACTTCTGGGAATCTAGAAGTTGGTGAGCATACCCAGAGCATGCCCAGGAAAGATGTGAGGGGGCTCTAAGTTCTCATCTCTAACTGACCTTTAGGCTCCACACAAGCAGAAAAAGAAGATGAAGGCAGAGCTGTAAGCTGCATGGTTGGGTGATGAACACATGTAGCAATACCCATACAGAGGCCCCAGACAAAAGCTTGGAGCTTTATTGGCTCCAGGTATTTAAAGGAATCTCTCCAATCATTAGTCTACCACTAATATAACCGGGGAGAGACTTCAGTGGTCACACCTGACAAAGATACAGACTTTACAGAATTCATTCAGAAAAGTCATTGAAAAAAAAATAACAATTACAATTACCAGTAGCAACAACAGATCTGAGGAGAAGGGAGAATCTAATTTCCAGAATTTTCACATTGTATTACTTGAAATATCTAGTTTTCAACAAAATGATAAGTCATGCAAAGGATAAGAAAGTATGAGTTGTACTTGGGGGAGAGTATGAGGGAAGCAATCAATAGAAACTATCCCAGAGGAAGGACAGACATTGGGTTTAATAGACAAAGACTTACAGCACATTTTAAATATAGAGCTCAAAAAAAGTATGAAAATGATGTTTCAACAAAGAGAATATCAACAAAGATATAGAAACTATAAAAGGACCAAATAGAAATTCTGGAATTGAAAAGTATAATAACTGAAATGAAAAATTCACTAAAGGACTCAGCCACAGATTTGAACAATCAGAAGAAAGAATCAGTGAACTCAGAGATGGGGGATTGAGATGATCCATTCTGAGAAGTAAAAAGAAAAAAGAACAACGAAAAATGAATAAAACCTTGAAGACCTGTGGAACACCATCCAGTATACCAACATATACATAATGGGAGTCCCAGAAAAAAAATGAGAGAGAAAGGGGTCAGAATTAACATTTAACAAATGATGGCTGAAAGCTCCCCAAATTTTATGAAAAGCTTTAATCTACATACCCAAAGATCTCAAAGAACTCCAAGCAAGATAAACTCAGAGATTCACATCTAGACACATCAAAATCAAACTACCAGAAGCTAAAGACAAAGTGAAAAATTTTAAAACCAGCAAAAGGATCTTAAATTAACTGATTTCTATCAGAAACCACAAAGACTAGAAGGCTGTGGGGTCACATGTTCAAAGTGATGAGGGAAAAAAATTGTCAGTGAAGAACTCTCTATCTGGCAAAATTATCCTTCAGATATGAAGAAGAAATTAATACACTTCCAGATAAACAAAACAGAGAATTCATCAGTAACACATCTGCCTTGAAAGAAATTCTAAAGGGAGGCCTTCAGACTACAGTGAAATGAAGGACAAATCCACATGAAAAAAGTAGTGAGCACCAACAAAGAAAATGGCATAGGTAAATATAGATGATATAAATACATTTTTTGTTTATAACTCCTTTTTTTCAACTTAATTTAACACAACTCTGTAACACAATAATAATAAATGTAAGTTGATGGAAACATAATGTATAAAGATGTGATTTGTGACTATAATAGCATAAAAAGAGGGGAAGGATGGAACTTCATAGGAATAAGACTTTTATATACTATTGAAATTAAGATGCTATTAATCCAAACTCGATTAATATAAATTAATATTTTAATGGTAATTCCCAGGGGAATCAATAAAAAACTAATTTAAAAATATACAGTAAAAGAAACACAAGGGAATTAAAATGGTACACCAGAAAATATCTAACACAAAAGGAATGGAGGAGCAACATCTAAAACCCCATATGAGACATGTGGAAAGCAAACAGCAAATTGGCAAACATAAATCCTCCCATGTGAATGCTTAAAGGTAATTGGACTAGTATCTCCAATTAAAAGTTAAAGATTGGCAGAATGAATTAAAAACAAAGCAAAAGAAAGCATGATCCAAGTATATTATGCTCCACAAGAAACATACTTTAGATTCAAAGACACAAACAGGTTGAACATAGAGGATGAAGAAGATGGAAAAAAACATATAACACAAGGCTGAAAAATTTCTCTCTAAGATCAGGAACAAGATGCTCTCACCACTTCTATTCAATATTGATTGGAGATTCTAGCAAAAGAAAGAAAAATAAAGGTAAGAAAAGGACAAGAAATTAGACAATAAAAAGAAATAAAAGGTTTCCATATTAGAAAGGAAGAAGTAAAACTATATTTGCACAGGACATAATTTTATATAAAGAAAACCCTGAAGAATCCACAAAATTATAAAAAGTTATAAAAAGTTAATACTAATACATGAGTTCAATAAGGTTATAGAATATAAGATCAAAATACAAAAAACATTGTATTGCTACATGCTAACAATGAACAATTAAAAAGATAATTCCATTAACATAGTATTGACAAGAATAAAATACTTCAGAATAAATTTAACCAAAGAAATATAAGATTTGAACACTGAAAACCACAGAAAATTGTTGGAAGAAAACCTAAATAAATAGGAAGACATCCCATATTCACATACTGGAAGATTTAATGTCATTATGGTGAACTATTGTTAAGATAGCAATACTCCTCAAATTGACCTCTTGATTCAATACAATTCCTGTGAAAATTCCAAATGCCTCTTTTATAGAAATAGGCAAGCTGATCCTTTGAGAATTTGGGGTATTTATCCTAACACCCACTAGCCCTGGGTGGAGGGCTGCCTTTGAGGTGTCAGCTCCATTTGTGTGAGAGCAGTGCCTGTTTCTACAGCCAGAGAGAGACAAGAGCTTGCTGGAGGAAGTTGTCACATGTGTGGGAACTGTGAGAGCCCGGAGGCTGAGCAGAGAATGGCAGCACGTGCCACAGACAGCATGATGCAGCTCCTGTGTGCCACTGCTAACTCATTTCTCCTACACAGACCTACAGTGATATTGGGTTTATTGAGTTCTTTACCTGTTCCTGACAGCTCTTTCCAGTTCCTCCTGGCATCATGTAGCATTTTCTTGAGGTGCCCCTTCCCCTTTCATCATTCTAACTCTTACTTTGTCTTCAAACACCAGCTCTTGGAAAATTTCAGTATCAGTTAAATCCCTTTCAGTTATACATTTAAAATAAGAACAACACTCAGCTCAAATAGGCTTAAACAGAAGAGAAATTAATGACTCATTTAATTGCAAAATCCCATCACCATGCAGGCTTCAGGTTCAGCTTGACCAAGGCTCAGCTGATGTCCCCAGAGCATAGTTTCCCTCAGCCTCTGGAATTAGACCTGTTCACCTCCACGTAGTGACTTCACTTTCAGGCTCCAAACAATGTCAGGATGGCTGCTGCTGCTCTAGCCCACCATCTTCTCAGTTTCAAGGGAGAGGAAAGAGATTTTTTTCTCAGCAGCCCTTAAACAATTCCTGCAATTTGCTAGCATCAAACCAGCTTAAGTTACATTTTCATCTCTGAATCAATCGATGTACCCAAGGAAGAAATATGCTCTTGTCTTTGGCCTGGGCCATATGCTTTAGATCTGGGACCAAGGACTTGGGTCTTGCCTGAACCAATTGGCAATAGATTGGTCTACAATCTATTAGGCTGCTGCCTAAATAGGGTGAGGGATGCTGAGGGACATACATCAGAACACATTCTCTGCTCCTTCCCTAACCATCTCACCTACACTCACCCCAGCTTGAATTAAATGTCCTTCTCCTGTGACCTTATCATTTGGGACATGTACTGTAATAGTTGCTCCATGTGATTCTCTCCACCAATGCTTTGTAAAAACCTTGGGGACAGAGACCATGATTGATGTGTCTTACATCTT